AAAAATCCTGTCAAGCCATACTTGACTAATCCCTGCAGGAATCACTCCCTTTCCCAAATCCCTTTTGTATTCTCACCTGTACCATACAACTCAGCTCTCCACGACATAAATGTTGTTTAGTAGACAGTCAATGTTGATTGCATTGTCAGAGACACCTGAGTTCAAATTCCTCCTCTGTCACTTACTGTCTGTCTAAATTTGTAGAAAGTGTCCAACTTCTACAAAATGTAGTCATATTTTATGCCAGACAGGACAGCTTCCAAGAAGGAAATATTGAAAAAGATGCATGGTGCCTGCAAACTCACCCATCAGTGCTACCCTCTTGCGGCAGCATCAAGAGGGGCAGGGAGAGGCAAGGTTGCTGTGCTCACAGAAAGCAAGCACTGGGAGAAGGGACAAAGCATTCTTCCCTTAGGGATTCGTGTGGGACCTCACCATTTTCAAAACACTTTTACCGGAATTATCTACGGTGAAACAGATACTATTATCTACATTTTGTAAAAATGGAAAATGAGGTTCACAATTATTGTCTGTACCAACATAAAGCTGACAATAAACAGCTGTACCTTCTGTAGGTAAGTTTTCAATGACTTGCTAATTTCTACCACGGACAAATAGAGTTAACATATTGACTGAAGAATTTAATACATAAAGGAAAATGCTCAAGTTTCAAGTGTACACTTGGGTAAGTTTTTACAAATCTAACATTATGCCCGTAGTCACCAGTCAAATTAAGAGAGTGAACATGTTTAACATTTCCAAACACCAGGCCCCTCTGCTGACTCCCACGCCTGTGCCTTTTGGTCAACAACTTCTTCCCTAGTCACCCTCTCTTGGCTCCTAACACTGAAGTGGGTTCTGCTTGCTTTGGGCTCTGACTAAATGGAATCAGACCCTCTTGAGTCTGGTGTTGCGAGATTGGCCCATGTCGCTGTGGTCCCTTTGTTCTCCTTGCTGAGTGGCCTTCCACTGAGAAGTGTATGTGGCCATTCTCCGGCGGCTGGACCTCTGGATGGTTTCCAGTTGGGGACTTTCCTCATTAGTGCTTCTTGTTAACACAAATGTCTGGCGAGCAAACATCTGAATTTCTGTTCTGTAAACGCCCAGAAGTAGGGTTCTAAGGGGTGAGTATTCTGAGCATGAAGAGACGTTGTCCGTTTTCCAAAGGGTTTGCACAAGGGCTTGCAGTCCTTCGAGCACTTCCTTTTGTTCTGCATCCTTGCCAGTACTTGTTACATCAGTCGTTTGCATTTTAGATGCCCTGGTGGGGCTGCTGTGTGTTTATCTTCTCCATTTTGATTTCAGTAACAGCTGTTGACAACTTTGTTTTGTTTTGTTTTTGACTACTGCTTGAGTTTCATTTCCTTTCACACAGGGGCTGAGATACTTTTGTACTAGTTTCTTCTTTTTGTTAAAAATTACCCATCCTCCAAGAAATTCTGGCGAGTTCCTTCTTGTCTACCCCAGACCGTCTTTCTTGGTTTTGGATCCTGCTGGGGGCTCTCGGTTGTTCTGACATGTACTTCCTCACCGCCCCTGGGGCAGCTCCACCAGGAGACCTCCCCAGCACGGGCTGAGGCCCTCAGCCTCAGGGACCACAGCATCACAGGTACTCTCAATGTCCCCGGGCTACAGTTTTCTCTCCTTTCTGATTTGGCCTCATTTACAACCCTCCTGGGACAAATTCTAGTCCGATTTCTTCAGCAGGCCCCAACAACTGGCAGATAGTAAGAAGAGTTAGCATTGTTAACAATTTCAATCTGCCAGAATATCAAAACAATCATACGTCCTACCAAAAATCCTACATGTTACATATGAGTTAACTTGTTGCAAATGGGAAGAAATGGCTGGCAGGTAGGGGTAAGACAGATTTTTCAGGGGGCTGGCACTGTGGCATGGCAGGTAAAACTGTCTTCTGCAGTGCCAGCATCCCATATGGGCACTGGTTCAAGTCCCGGCTGCTCCACTTCTGACCCAGCTCTCTGCTATGGCCTGGGAAAGCAGTGGAAGATGGCCCAAGTCCTTGGGCCCCTGCACTCATGTGGGAGACCTGGAAGACACTCCTGGCTCCTGGCTCCTGGCTCCTGGCTCCTGGCTTCGGATCAGTGCAGCTCTGGCCATTGAGGCCATTTGGGGAGTGAACCAGCAGATGGAAGACCTCTCTCTCTCTCTCTCTCTCTGCCTCTCCTTCTCTCTCTGTGTAACTCTGACTTTCAAATACATAAATAAATCTTTTTTAAAAAAATTTTTTTTCATAATCTAAGTACCATCATGTACCTTTTTGGTTTTGTCCTTTACAAGTGTATCTTCTATGAAAATTAAATCAAAGTTATATTTAAAATCAAGATTAGAAAATGTTTTAATGGAAGAGAAGTTTTATGTTTCATTTTTTAAAAGATTTACTTATTTATTTGAAAGGCAGAGTGAGAGATGAAGAGGCTGAAAGAGAGAAATCTTCCATCCACAAATGGCGACCACAACCAGAGCTGGGTCAAGCCAAAGCCAGGAGCCTGGAACACCAACCAGTTCTCCTGTGTGGGTGGCAGGGGCCCAATTAGGCCTTCACTGACTGCCTTTCCAGATGCAATAGCAGAGAGCTGGATCGGAAGTGGAGTAGCTGGGACTCGAACAGGTGCTCCAATATGGGATGCCAGCGTCCAAAGCAGTGCTTAGTCCACTGCACCGCACCAGCCACTAGGAAAGAGAAATTTTAGACTCACTGTAGGATGGGGATTTTTTTAAATAGTAACTTGGATAACGAATGTGTTTTCATAATCATAAAAGAATTTGGTTACTGCCAGCTTTTAAAAATTATTAAATCAGGAGTGGGCGTTTGGAGCAGCAGTCCAGATGCCATTCGAGATGCCCGCATCTCATATCAAAGTGAGCTGGAGTTCCGGCTCTGCTCACAGTCCTAGCTTCCTGCTAACCATACCCTGGGAGGCAGCAGGTGATGGCTCATGGAGTTGGGAGACCTGGACTGAGTTTCCCTGCTCCTGGCTTCAGTGTGGCCCAGCTCTGGTTATTGTGGCCATTTGGGGGGTGAACCAGCAGAAAAAATCTCAATATCTCTCTCTCTTCCCCAAATGACTTAAATAAATAAAAGTAAATTTTAACAAATAATAAATTTAAATAAGTAAATTTAAATAAATTTCCAAGGCCATAAGCAGAGAGCTGGTTCAGAAGAGGAGCAGCCGGGGCATAAATTGGCACCACAGGGGATGTCGGTGCTGCAGGTGCCAGCTCCTTGTACACATATTTTACCTACAGATTTTGTTTTGTTTGTTTTAAAAAAAAAAAAAGGCATAATCTGAAAATATTGCTTTAGGAGGTTTTTGTGTTACCCAAAGATGCATTATGAAACTCTTACATGATATTATACACAGATCTATATTATCATTTAAATTCACCAAATCCCACTTTATCTACAAACAAAAATTTAAATGTTAATACTCCTATACAGGCGTATTTATTTTCTTTAAAAATTAATACATTAAAATTAATTCATTAATATTGCTAGTATTTTCAGTATTTTTACAACATTAGTATGTGAACCATGAAAACAGATGCAATTTCATTATCACTGAAAGACAGACTTCAAGGTCCACAAAGGCTGAGCTTCCTGTAGACCACAGCAATGCTGGGAAATCTTTCCTCTGCTGAAGCTGTCACCAGCCAAGGAGTAGCTGAAGTCCACCTGAGGGCTCAAGTCTGCCCAGGGGAGGCAAGAATTATACATCACTCAGTATTCCTAGATCAGTCAAAATCAAACTATTTCCTTGGATTGGGATTCAGATCCATTCAATCCAAGCATTTTTATTTCAGAAGTGCAAATTATTGAGCTTACAAGGAGAGAGTCAAGGTAAGTTGGGTCCCCCTAACTTTCTAACACATATACCACCTAGTAGGGTGACATACATATATAAGACACACACAGATGAGTATGGCACAAGGAAAATTTGTTAAATAAGACGAAATAAACAAAAATATTATAAGATACACAGAAGAGGAGTACATTAAACCAGGCTGAGTAGGGCAGGGTTTGAGGTATCCCTGGAAGAGTGGGTGCAATGGTGACCAAAAGAGAGAGCAAGGGCTCCAAGGCGCCTGGGCTGTTGACAGAGGCTTCATTCAGGCTAGCAGAGCTGTGAAATCCTTCTGTTCTCACCCTGTGTCCTTTTACAGATCTCTTCCCCAGCCTGCTCTGTTTCTGGGCACACCCAGGAGATCTTTAGACTTTACAAACCGGTTGTGCAGAGCCAGGCATTCCACTAAGAAACAAAACGCTGAGTAACAACATGAAGTCAGTCTGTTCCTTGCCAAGATCTGGGAGGCCTGGGTGATTTCCCAATCTCCAAGAAGCAGAAGGAAATGAAAGCCAGCGTCCCAGAGAGAAACCTGGGTAGACCTACCAATACAGAGAATGGCACGTTCTAATCCAATCGGGGCAGGGTGCGCCACCTGCAATGACTATTGGCTACTCCAAAATCAGGTGGCCTCACCTGATCTCAATTAGTCTGCCTTTTTTGCATGACAGACTAACACATCACTAATGCCTTACCTTGGCTGCAAATATTTCATGCACTGTGAAACAGAGATAATGCTGTCACTTCCAGTCCAACGAGGTAAAATGGAAGAGATTTCATTGAAGAACAGGATATGACTCGGCTGCAGAAGACTTCAGGAGTGTGAGTGAATAAACAGTGCGAGCACAGATGATGAGTGCTAGGCGTCCTGGGAACAGTGCGCCTGTTGCCTGCTCACAGGGGCGAAATCCCAGCCTGACGGAAGGCTCAGGACTTCAAGGAGGCCACTCCCGCATCCATCACACCCGACTCGCAGGCTCACAGCCCTTCTCCAGCTCAGCTCTTCTTCTGCCTCCTGAGGCCTTTCCACAATCACGTGGGTTTGATCACTTGTCCTGGGATGGAGGCACTCAATATCTGGGAGACCTCAAAGAATCTACAACTGAAATGAGAAGGAACAGTGGACAGGTGAAGAAATCCTAGGAGGATTGAGATTATGTAGGGTCATGATCATCTGATTTTTGTAAAGTGTTTATTTATTTGAAAGTACAGAGACAGAGAAGAGAAAGAGACAGACAGAGAGAGAGAGAGAGAGATCTTCAATCTGCTGGTTCACTCCTCAGATGGCTGCAATGGCCAGAGCTGAGCCAGGCCAAAGCCAGAAGTCAAGCGCTAGGAGTTTCTTCCAGGTCTGTTATACAGGTAGCAGGGGCCCAAGCACTTGGGCCATCTTCTGCTGCTTTCCCAGGAGCATTAGCAGGGAGCTGGATTGGAAGTGAAGCAACTAGGACACTACTCAGAGCCTATATGGGATGCTGACAGGTGGCAGCTTTACTTGCTATGCCACAACACCAGCTCCCTGACACAGTCATCTACCAGCATCATAACTGCTAGGCTAAATGTCTGCCCCTGTATGACTTTGAATGGCTATAACATATTTTACTCTACAGATATAAGACAATTTATTTAACTATTGGTCTTGTAAAAGTTAGGTTGTTTCCAATTTTTAAATATTGTATGATAAATAATGCTGTTGCAATCATATAAATAACAACTAAAATTGATGCTCTAAGGCTTATGTTAAGAAATGAATTATGAATCACAGCATAGTCTGTACTTTTTTAAGGTAATGAATGGATAAACCATGCTGTGTGAGCCACACATGATGAAGCCTGAACACCCAACCGTCTCTGAATCACTTCGTGAGTGTGAGTCAGGGAGTCCATGTCACTCCTCAGTGGCCTTGTTTGTTCATTTCACCTGGGGCCCCGGGACCTTCCCCACGCTCTAGCCCAGGCCCCAGCTTCTCCGAGCCAGGAGACTAAATTCTCTGTCTAGGCAAGAACCACATTATACAAGCGCCTGACCACAAAGATACAGGTGGGAAAACTGAGACCTGGAATGATAGCCCGAACAAAGGAGAGAACTCTCGGTGGCTGGGAACCTCGTGACAGACAAAGACCGTGCCCCGGCAGCTGTTACTGAGGATTGCTTCTACCCTCAACAGCTGGGCATTTGCCGTTGCTTCTGAATCTCCAGCAGGCACTCCCACCAGATGACCTTGCTTCAGAACCCACTGGGAAAACCGAAGCACTCAGAAGAGCTTGCCACAAGCTCCCTCCGCCACGGTTTACCACCTGTTGCTGCTGCACCAACATCCATCTGCTTTCTCTTCTTTCAATATCATGTATGGGCCAACACACCCAACTGCTCACCCCAGCCCGGATCTCCCCCTGTAGATTCCGACTGGATATCCAATTGCCTACGTGACTTCTCTATGTGCATGTCTGAAAACCTCTCAGACTTAACGTGTCTAATACCAGACTGTTGGTCTGCCCCAAACCTGTTCTTCTTGTAGCCTTCTGCACCTAAGTTAATGGCAACATCTTCCTTCTTACTTTCTCATGCCAAGAAACTTGGAGTCCTTTCTGACTCCTATCACATCCAGTCCATCAGCAAATATTTGCATCATGTCTCACCAGATTATTGAAATAATCTCCTTACTGATCTCACTCATTTTCAGCCTATTTCACAATATGGTCATTAGACTGGTCCTATTAAAACATAAGGCAGATCACGTCAGCGTAAGTCAGTACATTTGGGTCATGAACATGAGAAAGTAATAGGCACCAAAATATCTCCACCTGCTCTTCTGACTTCTGTTACAGAATCTGGGCCCAAAGCACATGAAGAATCAGAACTATCACAGGTGAAGTAACCAGGCCATGTGTTTTCCAGTTCCACTTAGATATTTTGGTAAATTTTATGTGTTATATGAAGTTTTAAACTTCTGTATCTTAAAGCATTCTAGTTTAGAATGTTTTGATAGATGTTATATTGGATTTCTTGGTGCTTCCACTTAGTGGTAAAGAGTTCTTTAAACAGAGCTAGAATCTCAGGTGAAGGAATGAAACTAACATGGAATTCAGTGACTTCTAAACTAGGCACATTACAATGCATTATTTAAAACTTTGACAACTTTGAGATTCAAGTAGTATTATTCTAGTTATAAATATATTTAAATCAATGTTCAGAGAGAACTGCTAATTTCTTTAAAGTCACTCACCTATTAAATGGCAGGCTTAAAATTTTGTCTACTAGCTTACTGACTAATATAGTACCTAGAATCAATAGCTAATGTCTTAACAAACTACATGACCTATGAGAAATCTCTTAATATTTGTCTTGGTTGTCTGCAAAAAAAATATACATTTACTTATTTAAAAAAATTTTTTATTTATATAAGCTGAACAAATTTCATATATTTCTTGTATACAAATTCAGGAGCATGGTGATACTGCCCATGCCACCCTCCCTCCCACCCAGACTCCCACCCTTCCTCCTCCTTCCTTCCTTTCTTATTCTTTCTTTTAATTGCTACAATGACATACTTTCAGCTTATTTTATACTCATAAGCTTAACCTTCCACTAAGTAAATAATTCAACAAATATTAAGAAGAAGAAAAAAACACTATTCCTCAACAATTGAGACGAGGGCTATAAACAATGATCAAATTTCAAAATGTCAATTGCACTCATATACATTATATTTTTTGTACTCTATTACTTACCATAGATCAGGGAAAAAATATGATATTGTGGTTTTTTTTTGTTTTGTTTTGTTTTGTTTTGACAGGCAGAGTGGACAGTGAGAGAGAGAGACAGAGAGAAAGGTCTTCCTTTTGCCGTTGGTTCACCCTCCAATGGCCGCCGCGGCAAGCGCGCTGCAGCCGGCGCACCGCGCTGATCCGATGGCAGGAGCCAGGAGCCAGGTGCTTTTCCTGGTCTCCCATGGGGTGCAGGGCCCAAGCACCTGGGCCATCCTCCACTGCACTCCCTGGCCACAGCAGAGAGCTGGCCTGGAAGAGGGGCAACCGGGACAGAATCCGGCGCCCCAACCGGGACTAGAACCCGGTGTGCCGGACTGCTAGGCGGAGGATTAGCCTAGTGAGCCGCGGCGCCGGCGATATTGTGTTTTTGTGACTGGCTTATTTCACTAAGTATGATGGTTTCCTTTTGAATTCATTTTGTTGCAAAACACAGGATTTCATTTTTTATGGCTGAGTAGTATCCATAGTTTGTATGTGTGTATATATATATATATCACATTTTCTTTATCCAGACATTAGTTGATGGACATCTGGGTTGATTCCATATCTTAGCTATTGTAAATTGAGCTGCAATAAACATGGGGGAGCACGCAACCCTTTAATATGCTGATTTCATTTCTTTTGTGTAAGTTCCCTAGAGTGGGATGGCAGGGTCATATGGTGGATCTATTTTCAGATTTCTGAGGAGTCTTCATACTGCTTTACACAATGGAAGCTTGGAATCTCCATATTGTCTTCCACAATGTACCAGTTTACATTCCCACCAACAGTGTATTAGGGTACATTTTTCCCCCACATCATCTCCAGCATTTACTATTTCTTGATTTCTATATGAGAACTATTTTAAATGGGGTGAGGTGAAACATCATTGCGGCTTTGGTTTGCATTTCTCTGATGGCTAGTGGTCCTGAGCATTCTGTCATGTTTCTGTTGGCCATTTGAATTTCATCCTTTGTAAAATGCCTGTTGTCCTTGGCTCATTTCTTAACTGGATTGTTTGTTTTGTTGTTGCTGAGTTTCTTCAGCTCTTTATAGATTCTGGATATTAACCCTTTATCTGTCGCATGGTTTGCAGATATTTTCTTCCATTTTATTGGCTGCCTCTTCACTTTATTGAGTGTCTACTTTGTAGTCCAGTAGCTTCTTAGCTTGATGTAATCCCATTTGTCCATTTGCTTTTATTGCCTGTGCTTCTGGAATCTTTTTCAAGGAGTCTTTGCCTATGCTAATGTCTCGCAAAGTTTCCCCCAAAGTTCTCCCCTAGTAATCTGATGGTATCTGACCATAGATTTAGATCCTTGATCCGTTTTGAGTTGATTTTTGTATAAGGTGTAACATAGGGGTCTTGTTTCATACTTCTGCACATGGAGATCCAGTTTTCCCAGCACAATTTGTTGAAGAGACTGCCCTTCCTCCAGTAAATGATTTTAGCCACTTCCTCAAAGATTACTCAGTTGTAGATGCATGGATTGATTTCTGGGATTTCTGTTTGTTCCATTGGTCTAAATGTCTATTTTTGTGCCAGTCCCTGGATGTTTTGATTATAACTGCCCTGTAGTATGAGTTGAAGTCTGATATTGTTATACCTCCAGTTTTGTTTTTGTTGTTTAACATTGCTTTGGCTATTCAGGGTCTCTTGTGGTTCCATATAAATTTTAGCATTGTTTCTTCTAGATCTGAGAAGAATGTCATTGGTATAGTAATTGGGAGTACATTCACTTTGGTCACATACCCTCAAATCAATCTGGTGATAATTGCAGTTTTTTTCTGGTTCTTTCTTCTTTCAGGTCTTTCAGAAGATAGACAATGCACTAAACGTTAAGAGTCACTAGGCTCTTGTGTTTCCTATTTCAAATCTTTAAATTATTGTTAAGCCATAATCTTCAAAGCACAAAGCCTTCGAGAATATTTTCCCAAGTGAAACAAATGGTGTAGCTGTGTGAGGGCATCAGGCAAAGCTAGAAATGGAAGTCCTTGCTGGCTGTCCATGTGAAGTACTTTGTTTAGGGGAATCCTATGTTGCCAGCACAGTCACTTGTCCTAGACAATAGCTGTTGGCACAGCATTAATATGTGAGGATTGGGAGAGCTGCCAGTGAAAGCAAACTCCTTTGTGATGTGTGCAGTGTTGTGCCAGGGCATCAGTTGCTGCTCACCACTGATGACCATCTGAAACTGTCTTTCACCAACAGTACACCAAAAGGCACAACTCAGCAAATCAGGAATGAATTTCTAGGGAGAGGCAACATGGTGTAATGGAAAAAGAATCAAAGTAGGCGTAAGAAAACCCTCATTTTAATTCCAATGTTGTGACTCTGATACTTCCTTTAACTTCCATTTTCCTTTTTCACTCACTCCCCCAGGCACACATCCAAGTAGTCAACAAGAATTTATTGAATGTCAGTGTGTACACAAGACCTTGGACCAGAAGGTGGGCATTCCATGATTTGGCTTTATGTGTATTAGAGGTAAAGATAGTTCCATCTGCTTCAGAGTGATGTGATGAAAATGAAAACCCAGTTTCTAATTTGGTAGAAAGGGAAATAATTATGATTATCTTGCTTCCTTACTCTTACTTTGTGTATCGATTATGAGACTCATATGAGATAATTATATGGCTGTACTTTATGAACTTAAAACATATAATTATGTAGAAAAACAGATAATTTTATCCAGATAATATTTATACCATTATTAAATATTACTCGGGGAATAGGGAGAGAAACTAATGAGATCTTAAGCCATTTTTCTTTTCCTACTTTTTTTTTAATCAAAAGCAAGACTTTCAAAGTTAAAAATAGAAATTGAAATGATTCTTCTTATAGTTTTTCAGAGAAAACAAGCAGATAATAACCAAATATGTGTCTCTCAACCTACACTCTTGTAGAAATTTTCAGCAGTTTTTGGAGTTTAGGCTCTGAAATTCAATATAAGGACTCAGAGTGGAGGAGTTTATTGCTAATGGATCAATTGAGATTAGGTTTAGCCACCCAGAAAAGAAAGATGTAAATTATCTAGACGTTTGTGGGTTTTTTCTCGCCTAAAAGGAATCTGGAGAGAGCAGTCTGGATGTGGCTGCTGTAAGAGACCTTCTGGGACATGGGTTATCTTTTTTTCCATTTTCTTACATGTGACTTACACTTAAGGTTCTCTTGGGTTGCTAGTGCTCCTGGTTATCACCTCTGCATCAGAGGCCAAAAGAAGGAAAAGCAGAAAGAATCACTCCAGGTTGAGGAGAATCCCTTTAAGAAGCCTTTGTAGATGTTCCCACCAGGAACGATGCTTTCCTGTCTTTGACAGAAATGAATTACATGGCCGCACTCAGACACAAGTGTAGCTGGGAACAGAGTCTTTGTCTTGAGTGATGCTGTGCCCAGCTAAAAGTCACGGTTCGGTTGAAGAAGAGGAGAATGATGTCCAGTTAGGCAGCTGGCAGTCTCTTCCACACAAAATATCAAGAAAAAAATTTAAATTAGTAGACTGACTGCTCTCAGTTGTAGGTTTTTCTCCATAAATTTTACATTTTCCCTTAGTGTAGAAATAATATCATTCTATTAAAATAGTATACAAAAATATCTGATTCAATGTAAAAGTGTATGCTTTTCATGACTGAAATATTTAAATTCATTTTATTCTATAAAGAGCAACAGGATTTTCAGGTGTTTTATGACAGAAACATTGCATTTCATTCATTCCAATGAAATAAAATTGTAGATTTCTAGAAACACATTCTTTGCGACTCTAAGCCACCTGCTTGCCAGTCTCCCAGTAAGCCCAGCCCAGAAGAGATTCCCATAGAGCCAATGGACTTGAAAACCTGCCCAAGACAAGGCCTCCCTGAATTTTCCTCAGCAAAGAGGGAAGTCCGCACACTTCTGCCGCAGCATGTGCAGGGTTCTACATCTGTCCTCAAATTCCTGGCACTGTGATCATGCTCTGTGTTAAATCCTCTGGGTGTTTCACAATGACCTTATCCATGTGCATATCTGTGGGCCTCTCTGTACATTTAGCACTTTCCTTCTGAAGACATTAAATAACTCCAGGCAACTAGGCTTGAGGAGCTCATTCCCCTACCCAAGGAGCATGGCGAGCCCACTGTGTCGTGAAAAAGCAGCAGTGTATCCCAACTGTCCCAACTGTTTGGGGAAGTGTCCTCTGCATGTCACAGTCCCGGGATGGCAGCCAAGTGAGAAACACAAGCTCCAGACTCCAAAGCAAACAACCATATCTAAGTGGCATAAACTTACATTCAACCCCAAATGGGCCTTACTGGCAAACAGCATATCCCCTGGAAAAAAAAAATATGGAGAGACATCAATAGACAAAGAGGTCTCCTATTCACTGATTTCACTCTTTAAATGCCAGCAACAGGCAGGGCTGGGCCAGACCAAAAGAAGGAGCTGGGAACTGAGTCTGGGTCTCCCATGTGGATGGTAGGGATCCAAGTACTTGAGCCATCACCTGCTGTCCGTCAGGGTGCATGCATTAGCAGGAAGCTGGAGTTGGAAGAGGAGCTGGGACTCCAATGCAAGCACTCCAATATGGGATGTTGGTGTCCCACGTGGAGTCTAAATCACTGTGCCAAATGCCTGCACCGTGTTCTATGACTTCAGAGAAATCACTTAACCACATCAAATTGTTATGATTTTATAAATAGTAGTAATCATAGTAAAATTAGATTATTGATACAATAATCTTCCAAAAGTATTGTTGTACTATAACATAAATGTAAGAAAAATAACTAGCCAACCCCCATCTGGTCAAAGTGTTTTGTCACTGATTTGCTAAGACGCTTTTATCAAGACTCTTACTCAGGGGTCAGCAGTTACCTCTAGTGAGGGAATTGACCCATAATCCATGATAACCAACTGGCTTTGATGTTCTACCATTCTAGGCCTTATAATCTACAGACATCTTTTTTTCTCCTCTTCCTTGGGTTATTCTTTAATCCTCACCATTTTCCTGTCCATTCTTTCTCCCTTTAAAGGTTGACCAAGGGAAATAACAATTCTGGTAAGAAGGGAAAATGTAAATGGAATTTACATTTGGGAAGACTATCGTGTATCTACCAAATGGAGTGGTAGTCTGGAGGCAAGATGGAGTGGCGGTGTTAAAACATAGGCTCTGCATTCGAGAGTGGTCGGTTCTTGTCCTGAGACTGTTCTACCCAGGTCTCCTAATTGTTAACAAATCACACTGCCTTAGAGAACTTCTTCTATAAACCCTTTTAAGATTTCTTAGGATTGATAATAATACACAAAAAGTTTTGTGGGAAATGTACTAAATGTTACCTACTACAATTAACCAACAGCATCATGAGACAGCTCTATACATTAACACAGAACTCCTCTAAACCTAGAGGTCCATTTATTTCAAGCAATATTTGAACCAATTCAATTCTAGCACAATGGAAAATTTCTAGAATGATTACATAAGGGAACACAATAAAGAGTTTTGGGGAAATAAGATTAAAAATAAGTCTATTTTGGTGCAAAGGCAGTTTAAAATCCATGCAGGGCTTGGTTTTTCGTAATAAGCCTTTTCTACAACTTTTTGGAAGTTCTCTCATGATACAGCTAAACCAGTTTGGGTGTCATTTCAATAAGGAACTTGAGACTTTATAATCGTTTGTAACTGTATATTGGACCTGCAGTTCACGCTGCGTCCCGCACTGGGCTGACTTTGTCCTCTGTGAGTGTCTTCAGCCACCCTGTAGCAGCTTTGCTGCAACGCAGCCTTCCAGTTCCAGTTCGGTTGCATCAGCACTCCCATTTCCTGTGTGTGGCTCTCTAAACTGCTTGCTTTGCACCTTTAGCTCCCTCCCCTTCCTCTTCAGAGGACGCGATGAAGATTTCCAGCAGGGATGGCGGTGCCCCCAGCCCCTCTTGCTGCAGCTTTTCCTCTTCTGTTTTTAACCTCCTTTGAACCTCCATGAGCTTCCTGTAATGACTGTCTCTGTTTCAGCTATTTCAGTATTTCTGTGGCTTTTGATTCTGATCTCAATTCACATCTTCTAGCCAAAACCATCTCAAATGAGTAGTTTGAGGTTTTTGCTGGAAGGTAATTTGAATTTGTTTACATGGCCACCAACTCCCAATTTAGATGTCCTGAGATTTCGGGAGCGGAGGAGTGGCCTTCCCAGATTTCCTTTCTCTTAGTATCACTAAGCCGTGTTATTCGCAAGGAAGGGCTCTTTTGTTTATGAGCTAATCCTGCTTCTTAGAATTCTATATTATTGCTGCCACATCAGGAGAATTAAGTCTCCCACTTCAGCGGGAGTCAACCCCACACATGAAGAGGGCTCCATGCTTTGATTTCTCTTCCTCAGTTAGAAGTCACACACACACATGCACTCACACACATGCACAAAACATACGATCATGCCATCACATGGGCAACTTCTCTGCAAGGAATCCACAATACAAACTGGAGATGAACAAAATATCTCAGTTGCTATAACAGATGACAAATGACTTCTGCTGCTGCTGCTGCTGCTGCTGCTGCTTTTGTCATCATTGCTGAGGTGAGGAGCGAGAAAGTCCCACATATTTCTCTGGCTGCTCTCAAATGATTGGACTCTGCAGTGTGCATTCAACATTCATTCAACAATATTTCACTGAGCACCTACTATGGTCCAGCCACCCACAATATAACCGTATACAAAACAGACCGGAGCCCCGCTATCTGGAACTTGCTATTGAGGTGAGTGGGCACTTTTCAGAATTGGAAAATCTGCCCGTTTGAGAAAAATTCAGTGTGGGTCAAGACTCCCAGAGGAGGAGGCAGAGACAGGAGCAGACTGGGCTTATCACATGCCCATCTCGTGGTTTCCTGGCAGGGCAAACGCAACACAGAACAGGCCATTGCCCAGCTTCCTTCCTGTTTCGGTAGCTCAGAACTCACAGCCACATTTCAGGCCGGAGAGATCCTTCCCTCCCAGCCTAAGCCTTTAGCTTTTTAAAAAAGAAATTTCTTCAAGTAAGAGCGTTCCTCATAGCTAATAATACTTCTGTCCCGCACCCTGGCAGCCACAAGTCTACTTCTATCTCTTACCTGGCCTTGACTTCCTTCTTGAGGCACGATACTTTCTCACGGAAACACTGCTTCCTGTAATGTCACTGTTTCGACTTCCTGAAATATTTACAGGAAATGCCTCCTGATAAAAGCCACTAGTGAGTTCTGAATTGAATCCATACTTTAGTCTTTTTATCCTTTTGATTCATATGGTAAGAGTAAAAAAAAAAAAAAAAAACTGTACTACTTAGTTCTTCCATTCACTTGTATGTAATTAGGTTCTTGTAGCCTACATGCAGGTTATCAAGTACTTTTCAAGTCTTTTGAAATCATCTTGTCTGTATGGAGTGAGGATATAGGAGGGTGTTTGGCTTTTGTTTATAGGTAACCATGAGTATCTCTAAAGCTCCACTATTT